TTCAGTTACTCATCATCTTGAAGTATGTTTAAGCAGTTCCACTGTCTTGACTTAATTGTCAAGATTCCTTCTCTTGAGAAAGTGTTTATCTTGAGAACTCTTGGGAATAGCCACTAAGCCAGTTTAAGTCTACAGTGCAAGTATGTCTAAGGGCCTTTGCAGACTGCTAGAAATAGTGCAAATTGAGCCCACTTTAAGGGTTAGTGTTAGGGAATCATGGAACTGTATTTTATTGTGGCACCAGAGCTCTCTGACAGAGAAGGCTCAATGTCTCGGGGAAAAAAACAATTCCCATGATTCCCTAGCACTAACCCTAACCCTAAAAGTGGACTCAATTTGCACTATTTCTGGCAGTCTGCAACCCCCCTAAGTCTTGCTGCAGAGATGAACAATATGTTGGTGTTTATTGGAAAATGAAAATTGCATTGATATGATTTTGTTTGTGTCAAATCTGTTATGCACAACTACTAATATATTTGACACAACCAGAAAAAAGCATGCAATCCACATTTGTACTCAAAAAGATTTGTCTCCAAGCAGACATGCATAGGATTGTGCTCTGGGATTGTATTTCTTTTAAAGAGGATGCTTAGGAATTCTCTTGAATTCACCCACTTAACTGAGGATCATGGCTGTTCCTACTATCCATTAGTATCCAAACAACTACAGGAAGAATTCTTCTAGTCTTCCCTTGATACATTGCATTGTAAAAGTTCCTATAAAACCAGCACTACAAATTTCCACCCAATTTCATTTCCTTTAGTACACAGCATCAACAACATAATCTAAGATTGAAGGAAGGATTTCCTAGAAGAAATGAGTAAGAACAGATGCTTTCAGGGTACCAGTAGGTTTAATGATCATACAGTTTCAATCTGATTATAATGTGTCATCCCCTGTGGACTCATATGTTTTGCTCAGGAGATTTATTCATATACAGTAATCACATTTACGTCTCCTATGAATCAATTTGTTGATTATCCTTGTTCTGAAGCAACATTTACATATGCTTTTAACAAACTTTATACCACTTAGAAAGTTTGTCTTTACTTCCTATATAGATCTTGAACAGTCTTTAATTATTATTATTGGGGAGGTATTGCTTAATATTATGACCCATATGGTTTGTCTGATTGAATGGATGGCAGGGGGAAGAAGGGCCTTTTTTGTAATGGCGCCTAGGTGTAAAATAAACATAAATGCTTGGCTCTCCCTTTTTTTGTTGAATTGTGCTGCATGATGGGGTGAGCTCCTGTCACTAGTCCCAGCTTCTGCCAACCTAGCAGTTCGAAGGCATACAAATTCAAGTAGATAAATAGGTACCACTTCAGTGGGAAGGTAAACAGCGTTCTGTGCAATCATGCTGGCCACATGGTCACAGAGTAGTCTTTGACAACACTGGCTCTTTGGTTTAGAAACGGAGATGAGCACTGCCCCCTATGGTCAGACACAACTTGACAACCTTGTCAATGGGGAATACCTTTATCTTTTTTTCACTGTTAAGTTTTAAACACCATGTCAAAAGTTTTTTATTTTCCTGGGCTTTTAATTAACATAATTTTGATATGAGTGCTGCTTTGAAATATTACTGCTCTATTATCTTTATTGTTTTTATTGGCTACTGTTGTGTAGATTTATTGATTTTCTGTTTTATTGGATTTAAATTGCTTCCTGTTATAGCCTGTTCCAGCATAACAAAAGACTTGTGGCAGGCCCCTTTAAATCTACCAGATTTATTTTAGCATGACAGAGTACAATGCACCTCCTTAGCATGGAGTGCAAGGCAATCTACAGAAAATATGTAGATATTCAGCTTTGTGTCACTTGCAAAATATTCCTCTGTACAGAATGTGTCATTCTTAAAAGCTATAACATACGTAGTAACCCCCCATCCATTTTGTTGAGGAAACTTTTAGGCAACCAAACTAATCTCACATTTAATGCTGTCTATAGACTTTGAATCAAAAGATAGCTGAGAGAAAACATTTGGCTTGTGTATCTATTCCTTATGTTTGCCTGCATTCTGTTTTATGCTTTTATGGCTGTCCAGCAGTTCAATATACTAATATCATAGTTGGTGCTGTTGTGTGCCTTCAAGTCATTTCTGACTTATGGTGACCATAAGGTGAAACTACCATGGGGTTTTCAAGGCCTGAGAGTGTTTGACTCACCCAAGGTCACCCAGTGGACTTCCATGGCTGAGCGGGGAATCAAACCCTGATCCCAAGAGTTGTAGTCCAATACTCAAACCACTACAAACCACAACATCATGTTGGCTCTCACTAGTAAGATACAAGGCTGGAAAAAGAGAGGCTTAAGATACCCTTTGGAAATCGCTACATTCCAGCTTAACATTTCACTGATGAAAACTGGGATGCATGTAGTCAAGCAACATCAGAGTATGGTCAAGATGGCAAAATATATTAATGGGGAAGAACAGAAGAGCTAGGAGAGATGTTAGTACTTTCCTAAAAAGGGCAAAATTCTGCCCTTTCCTCTCTTCTCCTCCCTGTGCTGAATTAATTGAGCACAAACTACTTTTGCACTTTGAACCCTGTTTGCCCCAATTAAAGTAAGCTAAGGACAAAGAGGGAAAGTGGGAGGAGGAGGAGAGAAACTGGGACATTTTAACAGCAACAAAAAGTGGGAGGATTTATTGGAGCCACCCCTGACAAATTTGGACAGTTGGAGAGCTAAAATGTGGAAGGTACTAGACAACTGGGGTCCAGTCAGCATCTTCCTCTGATCCCAAGGGCAGGGCCTGATCAAGTCTATGATGGTCCTTAGGCTAGTTGCATATAATATTGCACTAATTCTGTTCCAGAATTGAACCAGGGATATGCATGCCACATGCACAATCAAAGAAAATTGCGTTAACAACAACAGTAGATAATAGAAATGCTGGGCCAGACCAAAGGCCTATTGAGTATAGCATTTCTATTCTAATAGTGGTCAAACAGGTGTGTATGAGAAGCCTGCAGGCAAACACAAGAGCAACATTACATTCCTTTTGTTCATATACTGTATTTTCTGGTGTATAAGATGACTTTTTAACCCCCAAAAAGCTTCCAAAAAATTGGGGGGGGTCGCCCTATGTGCCGGTAAAAGAAAAAAGTTTCTTTTACCTGGCAGCCATTTTGCCTT